ACTTTGGGCATGTTTTTTATGAGAGTATAACAATATAACAACATATAAAACTCAAAAAAGTTGATTTTACATGATATTGCCCCTTTAAGTACTTTTCTCCTCAGGGAAATTCATTTTTACCAACTCTGATTTTCTGTTAAGGTATTCTTACTTTTACTTATTTAAGTACTTAATACACCTCTGGTCTGTTATAACTTCTCTCATATTCAAAAGCCTAAATGCACTCAAAAAACAGATTTATTGTTTCCACTCAGCTGAACTGAGGAAAGTCAACACATTTACATCAACTTTAAACAAATGTAAGGTTAACGTAAAGTAAATGTGTTACCTTAACTCAGTTCAGTTGTGTGGAAACTGTTGATATATATTTAAATTAAATCCACTACATCTGTTTTCTTGAGTATTTTGTGGGACATGTTGGAGTAAAGAGATGTCACAATGCAAAGTGAGGCACACAATGTGTTGCCCAAAACCACTAAAAGACTCGGACTGAGCGTAGCTGCAAGATGCACAAAGGCACTTGAGTAATTTTTCAGATACGATCCTATTTGCAGTGAAGCCAACTGTAGGTTTGTTTCCATTAAGGCTCCCCTCAAAGGAGTGGAAACAACAATAAGACCCCCTACAGTAGTAGAGATCTAATATTGGCACCAGAAGCAGCTGGCAGGCTGTCTCCTGTAATTTTAGAGCCCACTGATGCGGAGGAAAGATTTAATGGGCATTGGTCAGCGTCCCCTCTTGTGAAGGCGTAAGGGAAACCGACAGAGCGAGCAGAGAGGGAGGGCAGCAGAGGGAGAGGACGGCTGGGAGAGAAGGAGAGGAAGACGGCAGAGTTCTCTAAGGCTGCCGAGGCTCGGAGAGAAAAGTCAGGAAACTATCTGAGCCAGCATGACTCTGTTAACACTGGGACTCTATCTGCCACTCTGGGTTTCCTGTTGCCTGGCTCAGTCCTCCTTTCTGGACAGCTTCCTTTTATTCCCAGCAGGTAGGATCATGCCAAGCCTGCATGCATGTGTTTGAGTCTCTGCACCAGTGCATGCTCTGCACAGGTGTTCAGGGTCCAGAACGTGTTGGGTTTTAAGCCTCACACTGAGCTCATCCAGCAGGGTTGTGTTGATTTTCTTGCTTCCCATGAGCTAGACTGGAAATGTCTCTATAAATAGTGAGAGGCACTTTCTCGTCTGTGTCCAGCTCTAGGAACTCTCTTGCGTGGGTRTCATGATTTGATATTTTGCACCTGTCTCCCTGTTGCTCGTGCTGCTCGTGCAGTTTCTTTGAATTTCTCAGATTTGTACAAAATGTGAGGGATAGGTTGCCCCCCCCCCCCTTTTTTCCCCAAAATGCATTTTGTCTCATCAAGTAATTTAGTTTTTTATGTATGCGAGTTCTTTGATTCCACCGTGTGACTGCTGCACTGCCCACAGCGTCCAGACCCCAAGAGGAACAGAAGAAGTTCAGCCCATGCTGTCTACTAGGTCCACCTCCACCACCGCTGTTCCCTCCACCCCCTTCGCTTTGGCGCCGCCACACACCAGTGAGTCATGTGACTTTTTATTGTGGAATATCGAGCCGTTGACATGTCCTTGAGTTATATCCATATAGCCTCTGGCTCAGTCCCATTTGAACCCCCCCAAGTGAGGYTGTCTGTTAACCATCTGACGGGGGGAACATAAAGTGCTCGTTGAGAGAAATGGCTCGACGAGCCCTTTTTTTTCAGCTCATAATGAATAAAGTCTATACTGGGATCAGTTTCAAATGTAAATGGTTTATACCCTGCCTCTTCTTTAAAGTGCCTGTGACATGCATATTCAAATAAAAAATGTCAAAGAAAACATCTTTTATATTTAATAAAGTTGGAATAATACACACAATTTAACCCATTTTGTCCCATAAATGGCATTTTTTCAATTGAACTTGGCTCAGCCAAAGTGAAACAGGAAGTGACATCAAAGGGGAACTCTTTAACAAAGAAAAACTCTGATCTTTGTTTATTGAAACATTATTATTTAAACTCTTCTTCATCTCTTTGATAGCAACTCTAATCTTAAGAAACATCAGATTCTTCTCTACAGTCTGTGTTATTAGCTGTTAGCAAAGCTCTGTTCACATGCAGACATTCCCCTTTGACATCACTTCCTGTTACTTTACAGGCAAATATCTCAACAACTGTTCATCTCAGCGACATGAAATTTTTTTAGCAATTTTTTTTATCAATGTCTTCTTTCTAAAAATGTATTAAAATGTATTACAAAATTATGACGTCACAGGCACTTTAAAGGAGTAGTCTGGTGATTTTTGATGTGATTTTTCTGTCGGATTGTTRCCAATAATGAGCTGTGACACCAGTCATAAAGCACAGAGCAGAAAGTCTTTGTCCTGACTCTAATGACCGCTGCGTTAATATTAAACCTCCACACTTTTGTCTCGTTAGTTTAGCTTGTTGCGTTTTTCTGCACCGCTCGTGTTGACGTGGGAATGTTTGTGTGATGACTACAGACTGTTGAATGCCAGTGGTGCTGAGGCTGCTGASTGTATCGGTCCTCCGAGAGTTGAGTAAACGTTTGGACTGACTGCACATGCTGACCAGGCAGACGGATCCATTCGCAGCCTCAGCACCAAACACAAAGAGTCTGTGCTCGTAAAACATACTCATGTGACAACGCGGACATTGTTTGATTAGAAAACTGTGACAGGCTAAACAAACTGTGTCTGTGTCCATGTCACCACTGATAGGTACGACTGTTGACAGAATGTCACTTAAAAATGACCAGACTATCCCTTTAATAATGTCTAAAACAGGCATGGGCAATCCTTGTCCTCGAGGGCCACAGCCCTGCATGTTTTACTTGTTTCTCTGCTCCAACACACCTGATATGAATGAACAGATGATTATCAGGCTTCTGCAGTACGGAGGACCAAAGCTGACATAATTAGAAATAAAAGCAGAATTAAATGAAACACTACATAAATACACTTAAAATGCACCAATTAAATTTAAAAAGGAGAACTTTATCTCCTGTTTTATATTTTAATTGACTTTCATATTTATTTTTCCAGGTTAGTTCCAAGAAATTAGTCTATATATTTGAACACATAATTTAAATTTTACTGTTTTTTACTGTATATATTAATTGTTTTTTCCTTTTACTTGTACATGCATTTGTGTCTTAAATGTTTATACTTAATTATTTTTATATTTTTTTCCAACAAGTCTTTTTATTTCTAAGTGTTGCATGCTTGTGCCACCTCAGTTTAGCTAAAAGTTTAAAGTTTAGTTTAAAACAAAGGCAAGGAGGAAAACATTACCTGTGCATTTATTTTTAACTAAACTTTAAGCTAAACTGCAGCAGCACATGCATGCAACACATGGAAATAAAAAGACTTGTTGGACAAAATTATAAAGATAATTCAATTTATGCATTAAAGAGACACAAATGCATGTACAAGTAAAAGGAAAATCTTTGTAAAATTATGTGTTAAAATATATAATTTATTGGAACTAAGCTGGAAAAATAAATATGAAGGTCAATTAAATTATAGGTAAAGTTATTTTTATTTTATTTGGTGCATTTTAAATGTATTTATTTATTTAAAGGTTCATTTATCTATTTCTGGTTTTATTTCTAATTATGTCAGTGTTGGTCCTCCGTACTGCAGAACTTGAAAGAGGTAGTTCAGTGACTGAATCAGGTGTGTTGGAGCAGGGAAAATCATAAAACCTGAAGGGCTGCGGCCCTCGAGGACCATGATTGCCCACCCTTGGTCTAAAACCTAAGAGAGGGAACAAATATTGATACGTTTGTATTTGTTTTAAAGACTGAAGGGCCGCCACGTCATGATGGTGAGTCTGAGTTGGGCCATGGCTGTGCTCGAGGCCCTCCTGGGCCTGCTGGACCGCTTGGACCTCAGGTAAGGCTCTGCTAAAACGTCACATACATCACAGAACTAAAACCATACTCCTTATCAACAACCTATCCATTCTTCCATTGCATTTACTTCAGTTAGCCTCAAACAGGGACAAAAATATTAGCACGACTAATCACAGGTTAGTGACTAAGTTGTTAAACATTATTACCTGTGCAATATATGAAAATAATAGTTATAATTTTTAAGTGTTTTTTTGCAGAATAATGATAAACAATTCATATTTCACTTATTGTAGATAGTTCTTTGAATAAAAATATTTTGGAGAAACAGTTTAATTCGAATGATGAGCTAATGGCTAACTTAAAGCAAAGCTTCAAGGTTCAAGTGAACACTAATTTATAACCTTTTATATTCTGCTTCACTTTTAAACAATTGCTTCTGGCAGAAATGTTGCTATATCTGCAGGAAATACCCAAGGCTGCATTTGAAATGCTACCGCTAGCTGCTGCTGCTAATATTTATGCTTAAAATAACAAAAAACAAGAACAAAAGACAGCAGTAATCTACTATACCATATTTGTTTGTCGTTAGTTTGTCTTGTCGACAAAAATCAAACCATTTCTCCAAACTGAGCTTGTTCTAAGCGCTATCAACAACAGGTAAGATATTTATTGTTTATAACCTCTCCTCGGAACCAAACTTTAAAGGGTTCAAACTTTTGCTTTAGCCACCGTCTCCAACTTGATAGTTCCTGAGCCGGGCAGGAGATGGGGATTTCTCTGGCCCTTGCAACACAACAGCCCATTAACGCTCTACATTTAGCCGAGACACAAATAGCCATTTTCCACTGCCTGCCAGTGTGCCACACATCCTTCTCAGAACTTGTCCAAAGAGCGATCTGCTTGGAAAGGCAAACTGTGTCGCGTAAATTCCAGGGATCACCAACACACACTGTCCATGTGTTTGTGTTTTCAAGCCGTGGAAGATTAAAGAGAGACCTTTAGGTTTGTGTAACACTGCTTGCTGCTGCCGCTACCTCGCAGCCTCACTGGTGAGAAGCAGATTTACCAAACGACTGTCGAATGGAGCTGCTCGTTTCATGCTGCTACACTGTATGGGGTGCCGTTTGTAAAGTTACACAGTCAAAAATTACCACCAATATTTTTTGTTTTATTTAGCCTTTTATAAGAAAAAAAAGAACAGATTTATTTTTCAAAGTCAGTTTTTCACCAAATGATTCATACATTTATAAATGTCATAGT